ATCCTCTCCCGTGACCACGTGACAGTGTCGGTGGATGCTGTGGTATACTACAGAGTCCACGATCCCGTCATGGCGGAGAACAATGTGGAGGACTACAGGTAGACGCGCGCGGAGAGGCCGTGCAAGTGTAGCCGACTGTAGCCTCGCAGTCGATGAAAGCCCCACTGGCTAGCCCAACGGTCTCGATGATGTGGCCCACCTTTTTCTCTCTGGGGCTCGTTGACCTTTTGGCTAAACTACTGCGGGTGGTTGTTCATTTACTGTAGCCTGCGACAGCCCCAGTCTGCGGCTAGCCCAACGGTTCCTCGACCCTACCACAGAGAGGCGTTGGGCTAAACTATCGCTGGAGGCTCATTTATTGTTATTTTCGTTGAATAAATGGTGACATTTGTACATTTGTTGCATCCGTGTTTGTACAACTTGTCACGTGATAACAGTACTCTATTAAAGCTGTATGGTTAGTAATCGTGTCCCTAGTCAGTGTTAAGGCGACGTTCCTAGTACGTGGTTAGTCGAGTAGTTGAAGACAACCAATGTCACCATTTTGGTCATTTGGCACGTGGCCCTGTGAGTAGTGTTGTGTGGTGCCTTTCCCCCCATGATACTGTAGTGCTCGCTCCTTTACTAACAGCCTGCGCTAACGTAAGCTCTGGTCTTGTCCTGCTTTTGAGTTCCTTGTTCTTCTCCTTTTTTCTGTCCTGACCATTTAGTCCCGTCTGCTACTTGCCCCAGCCTCCCTTGCTACCTAACGCCCCTGTCCTGGCTATCCTTCCCGTTATAATTCTGCTTCTGCTGATGTCGCTGCTGCCGATGCCGCTGCTACTGCTGCCGCCGCCGCTGCTGTATCAGCCCCCCGCTGCCGCTACGAATGGTTTGTTGACCGCGGGCGTCGCTGGCGTCCATAAAGGAATAATTGTTCCTTCAGTGCCTCCATTCCTCAGCTCTTCCCCGTTCTGCTGCGCGCGTTCTCTTGTTTTGAAGTTTCTTTCTTTCTTTCTCTCCTTCTTCCTTTATTTGCGGGTTATCTTTTTATCCTTTTTCCTTGGATCCTTCACTGCTTCACTCTCGCTAGACCCTCTTTATCCATTTCTTTTTCGTCTAACTCCATTTCTTCCTCATTCGATCCTTTTTGCGTTTCATTTCATTATATTTTCGATTTGGTCAGCACGTTTTTCAAACTCATTTTAATTTCGCATTATTTTTTCGAGTTTCATTTTACGATCCTCGTAAATAAGGAGATTTTTTATGTATTTTAACAGGGAAAATGTCGCCAATTCTTAATAAATCTTGATCTTATTCTTTTCCTTCTCTCCCTTACCAGTTCTCCTTCCCTATCTCTTCCTCTTTCTATCCAACCAACTGTCTATCTGTATATTTATTTTTCACTATGCCCCCTCTTCCCTTTAATTCCCCTTTAAATGTTTCCTCTCTCTCTCTCTCTCCTCTCTCTCTCCTTCTCTCTCTCTCTCTCTCTCTCTCTCTCTCTCTCTCTCTCTCGCTCTCTCTCTCTCTCTCTCTCTCTCGTCTCTTTCTCTCTCTCTCTCCTCTCTCTCT